TTGCTTGACTTTCTTGTGGATTCATATTCTCAAAGAGTAGCAACTTCTCCCATTTTGGATTGATAACCTCTTATACTAAATTGACTATGATGGTTAAGAGGAATTGATTGATTGTTATTGCACCATTTCATCTTTATTCACCCCTGTTTTCATTCCACCTCATATCTTATCATCCTTCATTCATATCACTTCATCCACGCAAAATCCTATCATCAGTTGCACACCTAGAACAAATCCTCTCCACATCTCTGATCATGTGCGGCCAATGAAAGTGATCACGCATAACTTGAAGTGTTTTGGCCACACCAAAGTGTCCCATCAAGCCTCCTCCATGTGCTTCCCTGACAAACAAATCCCTCAAAGAACAATTAGGCACACAGAGACGGTTCTCATAAAAGAGAAACCCATCTTGTCTGTAGTATCGGCCAAAAGCAAACTTAGAACAAGACTTATAGATCTCAGCAAAATCAGAATCAGAAGCATACAAGTCTTTTATCTGTTCAAAGCCCAAGAGTTTAGCATCAAGAGTTGAGAGAAGAGTGTACCTCCTGGACAATGCGTCGGCTACAACATTGTCCTTACCTTTTTTGTACTTGATGACATATGGGAATGTCTCAATGAACTCAACCCACCTGGCATGCCTCTTGTTGAGCTTCTGTTGGCCCTTGAGATGTTTGAGAGATTCATGGTCTGTGTGGATGACAAACTCCTTTGGCCAGAGATAGTGTTGCCAAGTTTGTAAGCGCGGACCAAGGCATAGAGTTCTTTGTCATAGGTTGGATAGTTGAGAGTGGCTCCTCCAAGCTTTTCACTAAAGAAAGCAATTGGCTTCTTGTCCTGCATCAAGACAGCTCCAATGCCTATACCTGAAGCATCACATTCAATCTCAAAAGTTTTTAAGAAGTCAGGTAAAATAAGAACAGGGGCATTAGTCAAGCGATCCTTGAGAGCCTGGAAAGCATCCTCCTGTGCTTTCTCCCACTTGAATCCAACTTCTTTCTTGATGACTTCAGTTAAAGGTGCGGCCAAGGTACTAAAATCACGGACAAACCGCCTATAGAACCCAGCTAGGCCATGGAAGCTTCTGACTTCACTCACTGTCTTAGGACTTGGCCATTCTCTGATGCTGCAACTTTCTCTTCATCCACCTTGACTCCATCTGCACTCACAACAAAGCCTAGAAAAACCACATTATCTGTGCAAAAAGTACATTTCTTAAGATTGGCAAACAATTTTTCTTTTCTTAGCACAGACAGGACAGATGCAAGGTGATCTAGATGCTCTTCAAGGTTCTTGCTGTAAATCAAGATGTCATCAAAGTAAACCACAACAAAATGACCAATGAAGTTTCTCAGGATATGGTTCATTAAGCGCATGAATGTACTAGGTGCATTAGTGAGACCAAATGGCATGACAAGCCATTCATAAAGACCATGTTTAGTTTTAAATGCAGTTTTCCATTCATCACCTTCTTTCATTCTAATCTGATGATAACCACTTTTTAAATCAATTTTAGAGAAAATGCTAGAACCATGCAACTCATCAAGCATATCATCAAGTCTAGGGATAGGATGTCGATACTTTACAGTGATATTGTTGATGGCTCTGCAGTCCACACACATGCGCCAACTCCCATCTTTCTTGGGCACAAGAAGAACAGGAACAGCACAAGGACTCATGCTTTCCCTGATGTGACCCTTATCCATAAGCTCATCTATTTGGCGCTGGAGTTCTTTGGTTTCCACAGGATTGGTTCTGTATGCTGGACGGTTTGGAAGAGTGGATCCAGGGACAAAGTCTATTTGATGCTCAATGCCTCTGACTGGTGGCAATCCCTTGGGACAATCTCTGGAAACACATCCTGGAAATCCTGTAAAAGTTTGGACATCTCACTCGGAATCTCCGGTGCATTATCAATCAAGAGGTTAAATGATCCTTTAAAGATAAATAAGAGAAAAGGCTTATCAGAAGACATGGAACTTTTAACCTGTTTGGATTTGGCCAGATAGTTCAGGGACTTGTTGGATTTGGTTGGTTCCTTCTTGGCTTGAGGTTTAGTCTTTGGCCACTCAACTGAACTTGATCTTCATACACCTCTTGAGGGGTTAAAGGGAATGAGAGTGGTCTTACGCCCCTTGTGAAGGAAGGTGTACTTGTTTGTAAAGCCATCATGCAGACACGCCTATCAGATTGCCATGGCCTTCCCAGAATGATGTGTCCAGCATCCATAGGCAAGACATCACACAGAATCTCATCCTCATAGCTTCCTATAGATAGTGGCACGACACTTGCTCCTTCACACTCATATCTCCAGTCTCATTGATCCACTGTAGCTGATATGGCTTAGGATGTTTCTGAGTCACAAGACCAAGCTTCTCAACCATGGCCTCACTAGCCACATTAGTGCAACTGCCTCCATCAATGATTAAGCTGCAAACCTTCTCCTGGACAAGACAGCGAGAATGGAATAGGTTTTCTCTTTGCTCTTCCTTTGTGTTTGGACTTGAGCGCTCAAGAGTCTTCTGGCTACCAGAAGCTTTCCCATGACAGGCACAGCTTCATACTCCTCTGGCTCTGGCTCTTGCTCTGGCTCTAGAACTTCTTCCTCAGACTCCACTTCTCCATTATCTCTTATGAACATGATCTTCTTGTTGCGGCATTCATTGGCATAGTGTCCAAAGCCTTGGCATCTGAAGCACTTAAGCTCGCGGGCTCTGGGGCAGAGGTGTACTGGACTTGTTCTTGTCCTTGTCTTGGTTGTAAGGACTCCTCTTGGCTCTGACTTTGGTGTGAAAGCCGGTTTGGAGTCTCTGGCATAGACAGGCCGGCGCTGATCAGTTCCATGTCGAGTTGGCGCCTCCTCTTGAGTTGGGTTTCGGCCAGAACTGCTTTGTGTAGCATAGATCCAAGGCCACACAGTTTTGCATCTCCACAATATCTTGGATTTCACGGTTGAGCCCTCCAAGGAACCTGGACATAGTGGCTTCTCTGTCCTCAATCACATTAGCCCTTAGCATCATTACTTCCATCTCCTGGAAGTATTCTTCAACTGTTTTGGACCCTTGAGTGAGCCTCCTGAGCTTAGAATGTAGCTCTCTCTGATAATAGCTAGGAATGAACCTCTGCCTCATGATCCTTTTCATCTCTTCCCAGGTAGAGACCTCAAGAGCTCCACCAATCTCTCTTGCGGTCACGACTTGTTCCCACCACCTTAGGGCATAGTCATTGAACTCAGAGACCGCCAGCTTAACTCTGTTGGGATTGGAGATGTTGTGTAAGTTGAAATTGAACTCACACTTCTTCTCCCAGTCCATGTACTCATCAGGATTGTTGTGGCCATGAAACTGTGGGAATCCGGATCTTGTATCCTCCAAGATTTTCGACCATGTGGTCTGGATCATCTCGATGCCTTCTAGAGCGGCGCCGACTTCCTTGAGAGGAATGGCCACTGTTGTAGTAAGGTTGGCTTGATCATCAGCCATCCTCTTGACGCCATAGGGTCATCTCTCGCTCCTCTTCAGATATATGGATGGATCTTGACTCTTTGCGCTTTCCTGCCTTGATTTGTTCCCTCCGGTCAAACTCATCCCTCATCAGCTTCTTGATTGTTCCAGACAGGGATTCGCTGAGGCTTGAGACTCTTGTCGTCTCCTCTTCATCTTCCTTTCCATCCGCCATAGTACCTGAATTACAGAAAGAGCTCGGCAGTTAGAAGTTCAAAGGAAAAGATCAAGAAATAATTTTAGAAATTATGCAAACAATTTCTAAAAATATGGGAAAAATAGTAGATGGATAGATCTATGAGAGTGATCAGGATTAATTATGACAATAGTTTTAAAATTGTGCAAATAATTAAACCAATTTCCAGTAACAAAACTCGCCAGATCTAGAAGATGAACTGCCACAAATGATATGATGAACAAAAACGAAATAAAACAATCAAAGGAGAGAGTACTTAGCTTCAAAGTGGCTCTGATACCACTTGATAGACCCCTGATTATAGATCGGCACTTTGAAGTAAGATTGGATGTTGAAATGAAATATTTTAAGATTGATGGAAGGAATGAAAACAAGATGGAATGGACTTGGGCGTTGAGGAAGAAGATGGATGATTGAATGGCTATAACAAGAGATCTGCGGAAGGATCTCTCAACACCAAACTTGTTGATCTCAAGGATATTACACACCAAGAGATGGACAAGGCTCTTGTTGATCTCCAGGATATTACACACCAAGAGATGGACAAGGATTAGAATCTTAAAGATATGACACACTTTAAGAAACTAAAGATCTTAGATATTACACACTAAGAGGTTTGAGTAAACAAACAAAAGGGTTTTTGATTAAAAGATTGATGATCAGAAACAGAGAGAGAGAGAGAGAGAGAGAGAGAGAGAGAGAGAGAGAGAGAGAGAGAGAGAGAGAGAGAGAGAGAGAGATTGGAACAGGCTCCAGTCAATCTCGAAAATGAAACAAAACATAAATGAAAGTTTGAACAAAAGAGACTCTTCAGTTGCCTGGGCGGCAAAGTTTGGCAGTGGAGAAGAGTTGGGCCGGACCCAAACAACATGAGACAAAGAAGTGATTTGGAAGTGGGTCTTAGGCCTCATTAAAAACCTGCCAAGGAAAACCCAAAGGGACAAAACCTTGGCAGGGAAAAAGAGCACACTAAGATCCACTTGCTCCTTTATCCCAAGTGTTGGGCTCTCAAACAAACCAGAGTGGAATGTTTAAGCTCATGGTCACGCCGACTCAAACGGCTAAGTACTCTTCCAATTCCTTGGTTGAGTATCTTAGTTTGGGACCTTGTGATTGGTCCAGCTGGTAAGGCCAAAGCTTCCAATGCTTCCTCAGGTTCAAGCTGCTCCTCTGGTTCAAGCTGTTCCACTGCTTCAAGCTTTCCAGTTGCTTCCTGGTCCAAGTCCCTAGCAACCTCTTCCATGATCATATCATGGACTCAACGTATAAACCTTCTGAGCTAGACTTGCCCTTCTTCAGCATCCCTTTGTGTCTCAGCTCAGCCTCTTTTGCATACACAGATGCCTTCATCTCCCTTACAATAGAGTCTCCTTCCCTGTACCATACTTTAAAGTATGTACTAATGGTTCATACACAGGTGGTAGACTCGTGAGTAGCTGAATAGCTTGATCCTCATCACTTATGGAAATTTGGAGATTGGCCAAGTCAGAGATCAGCTTCAGAAAGGTATCCAAATTTTCCTCTTTTGTTTTAGATTCATCCATTCTGAAACTGGCAAATTGTTGCTTAAGGTAAATACGATTAGGCAATGATTTGGCTTGATATTCTTTTTCCAGGGCATGCCACATATCAAGAGCGGTGGGTTGATTCATCACTTTTCTCAGAATAAGATCACTCAAACAGGTACCATTAAGATCTTACTCTGAGATCTTTTGCTGCTTTCTTAGGATCTCTTCTTGGTTCTGATCGTTCTTCTGCTTTTGCAGATTTAGCTGTGATGGTGAAGTCTTCATTTAATACGTCTCCAATACCTTGGATCTTGAGTTGACCAAGGAGCTTATACTTCCACATACCGAAGTCCTCCTTTCCGGTGAACTTATCCATCTCAAACCTTCCCGCTGTAGGCTCCATGATGAGCCATTGACGGTGAAATCCCGAAGGTTCTCAGGTGTCACCAGATCTGCAACCACAATCAGAAACCCAGACAATCCAGAAAAAAAGAAAACCAGAAAACCAGATAATCCCGAGAAGATCCACAAGAAAACCAGATCCACATCGATGATCAATCCGCAAAGAATTTCCAAGAAAATCCGAGGTGAGATAACAACCTCCTTTCACTTTTACCGATAAGCTTTAGATCAGATCACTCGACCTGAGCTCTGATACCACTTGTTGAGATTTTGCGGATCTATTCTAACAAGCTAATCGGATTGTTAAATTGTGCAGGAATTTAAAGAACACAAAAGTTTTGTTGACCCAGTGTTCGTTGCCTACTCACTGGGGGAAGGAAACGCACCTTTCGTCGCTCATCACTATCACGGCGATAATGCCAAAAGATACAGGGGTCCAATGATCGGAAAACCACCTCCGATTACACTTTAAAGCTCACACACCTAGAAAGATAGAAGAATCTCAGGTTAGATCTTCTCTATCTCTCGCTCTCTCTCTGTGATCTTACTCTCTCTCTCTAACTCTGCAACTTTTCTGTTACAAGTCACTCGAAGAAGACGAAGACCAGTTTGACTTAATAGTCAGCTGGTTTCTTTGCGGATGGGCCTTTAATGCAAAGCCCACTTGGATTTGGTTTGGTGCTATGGGCCGAGGCCCACGGAGAGTGAAGCTGAACTTACTCATACACCTTCTTGAGTTACAAGGCTAAAAATATGTATTTATACTGCTCTAAGTATTGAAGAGCGGCTAGACCTAGGTCTATTAAGTCGGCAAAGTAATAGGGCTTCAATTCTTGTAAAACGGACTTCTAAATCGGCTTTAGATCGATCAGACCGTTTGGACAGTCGGTTGGGACGTTGGGCCGAGAGTCGGGTTGTGAGCGGCCATCGGTATGATCGGGTCGATCGTGGCCGAGGGAATTCTTGTTCGGTCGTCGGGTTCCGCCGGGCGGATGATATTGGTCGAAGGTTCGGGCCGGACGTGGGACGATGCCTTCCTGGTCGGACGGTGTGATCGTGCGTGGCACACGGATCGTTGTAAGCGGTCGGAACGAACGTGAGGCGATGCCTTCCTGTGCGCGTGGTGTGGTAGTTCGCGGCACATGGTCGTGAGACTGGATGGGTCGACCTCGGGCAGTTGCTTCCCTGGTCGGTATGTGCGCTTGGCCGTGCACTAGGCGGGACGGAAGTCATGTTCTGCGCGGGTCGATCGTGGGACGATAGTTCCTCGGTCGGCCAGTGCGCGCGGTCTTGAGCGCTGCTGCGCGGTTTAAGCCGTCTGGACCAGTGTTTGCTAAATTGATCATAACTACGTTTCTACTTATCCAAATGATGCCAATCTACTTGCGTTGGAGAGTTAACTCACTCATGAAAGGAAGGTTCCGGTCTTGATGAAATCCATTCAGTAGATTATTTTTAAACTCTTCCCAAAGTAGATGTTGTGGCAATGGAACTAGTTTGAAGTTCTTTTTATGTGTTTTGCTCCATAATGCACCTTTTGACCTAAAATGACTCTTTGCACTATAAATCCATAAAAACTACCTTTTAAGAAAATAATCCACTAGAAAACCATTAGAAAACCATAGAAAAACCATGTAAAAAGCATGTAAAATAGAGGTATATCAACTACATAGTCAAATCCATTGACGCTCAATCATCATTCTCTTCTCCATTATCGAACTCAGAATCCAATTAAACATAATAAACGAGATTCGATATAATACCTTGTTCTCCAGTTTGTCACCACACAATTCCTCGTCCGAGTCCATTTGCTTCTCCTCTTCCTCTTTTTCTTCTTCTTCGTGCTATTCTTCTTTTTCTGTTTCATCTTCTTCTGAGCTCATCTTCTCCTCAGTTTGGGCTTCTTTTTCTTTGGGATTTGCTTCTTCGGTTTCCGCCTCTCCTGTCGGCTCCGTCTCTTCTATAGGCGGAGATTCATCGGTCGGTGCTACTTCTGTCAGCCTCGACAGTTCTGCCGCTTCTGTTGGCTTCGTCGGTTCCCCCTCTTCTGTCGGCTTCGACAGTTCTGCCTCTTCTGTTGGCTTCGTCTGTAACGCCGTTTCTGTCAGCTTCGAGAGTTCCACCGCTTCTGTCGAGTTCGACGATTCCGCCGCTTCTGTCGGCTTTGATTCCATCGTTACTTTGCGGTTTCTCAACACCACCATTGCTGGATTCAATTCGAAGCTTCACTCTAGAATTCTCCACTCTAGATTTTCAGTATCCGTTGAGATTCTTCGATTTCCCTTTCTTCCTCTTTTCTGATTTCAAATTTTTTTACTTGCAGAAATTAAAAACAGCGACATAGTGAATTTAGGGATTTTACTCGTTAATATCCAGTACAATCGGGTCGGGTTTGCGGTTTTCGGGTATAACCCTGGTTCCTTTCGTAAATACTTGAAGTTTGGTTTGCTTTTAATGTCTTTTCATTATTTTTTGATTAAAAAAATGGAAAATAAATCAATTTCAAAATGGGAAAATCGCATAACAAAACCCTGAAGGTGGCAAAAGTTAGCACTTTAAACCTCCAAAGTATAACACTAACACTTTAAACACTCAACCTAATTACATTAACACCTTAAACCGTGAAACTACCGGAATTGGTCGTGCCGCCGTTTGACTCACCGGCACAGTTGACTTCGTTAACGGAACAGTAAACGCCGTTCTCTTTTAAAAAAACATGTGCTTAGATGTTAACTCGGGTTATTTTGGTCGGGTTAAAAACATAAACCTTGAGTTAAACACAAAACGGTGTGTTTTAACCGGTTTTAAAAATCAGAAATCGTGAAACAAAGTAACAAAATCGATTTGGGGATTTAGGGTTTCTGAGAGAGAAAGTTTTGCAGACTCAATCGACGATAGGAAGGAGGAAAACTGACGCGAGATGATGTAAACGTCCTATCTATTCTTTAATTCCTGTATCAATGATAGTGCAAATCGAATTCGTTGTCTTTTCCGCCTAATAGAAAGAATTTTGGGTATTGGATTTCAAACTAGATATCACAAAACTGGGATTTCTTGTCGATTTTGGTTTGATTCTGGGTATTTGGTTTGTTTTCGGTTCGATTTGGTTTCAATTTTCTGTTTCACTGTTAACTTTTTCTTTCTCCATTTTTACAGTGAGAGTTCATCGATGTTTCAGAGTGCGAATTCTCAGAGTGTGACTTCATCTGACAATGAGAATGGTGTACTTTGCTATTGTCACCGGCCAGCAAAGATTGTGAGAGCTTGGACCCGTAGAAACCCTGGTCGTAGGTTCTATAGTTGCATAGGCCGTCGAGGAGCCAATGGGTGGGTGGCTTGCAAATTCTTTGATTGGTTCGACAAAGAGGAACCACACGGATGGCAACATGTTGCACTATTGGAGGCAGAACAGACAATTAAAGAGCAAAAAGCAGAGATTGAGGGTTTGAAGAACAAGGTAAGAACACAAACTCGTCATTCTGAAAATTTTGGGAATTCAAATGCATTGGTGGATATACTGAAGGAAAGGAAAGAAACGAAGTTCTTGAAAGGGAAGTGTTGATCCTAAGGGAGAGAAGTATTGTTCTTCGTAATGTTCTTGTGGCATCTTCAGTCGGACTTGTTGTGCTTGTTGGAGGAGTAATCGCAAAGTGGAAGTGCATGTAAGAGTTTATGTTCTGCTTTATGAGATAATGTAAGGGTCTATGGTTAAACTGTTGTTGTCTTTTTTAAGGATTTTGTAAGAATTTTAGCTCTCTTTTCTTAATCTAAAACATTTTGATTCGTCTATTTTTTGTTTGACTTGCTTATACAAACATTTTATCTATCTTTACAATGAACTTGAAAGGACCAAATCATACTGTCATAAACCATATTGTCATAAACCAAAAGCCAAAAGCTTGCTAATGTCATAAACATAAACACAAAGCCGATATTGTCACAAAGAAAAAGCCGATATTGTCATACAAAAAACAGGCTTTCACGCAAGTGCAAAACAAATACAAGTGCAAGTTCTTAAACATGGTCAAGTGTTTCCATCTTCTGTTGGCTGCAAGCTTGGGTCTTGTGGAGACTGCATATTTAGAGCTTGTTGAGGTTGCAAGGTTGGTTCATGTGGAGGCTGCTGATCAAAGCCACTCCTATGCTGATCAAAGCCACTCCTATCATGGACACGGTCTCCAAACACCTCGAAAGGGCGATTAGTGTATGGACTCCAGAATGTTCCCACTCCATAAGCCACTGGTATGGTTTTCTTTACCTTGAGTTGTTTACCCCTCGCAGCCTTCTTGACATGTGGTTTGACTTGCTTCGTGGACACCGAAGGCTGAGGAGCACTAGAACTTACTTCAGCTTCACCACTCGCTGGTACAGGTAAAGGGTGAGAGGAACTTGCATTGTTGGGAGCTTTGCGCTTTCTAGGCTTTGACGGTGGTTTAGGAGTGTCCTGAAACATAAGAACAGAAAAAAAAAATCGACATCATTATCAAGCACCAAAAGATACCAATTAACAACCACCAAAAGATATCATATCAACTAAGACCATAAACAAAGTCGACATCATTATCAAACAAAACCACAAGATATCATATCAAAACCCAAAGATATCAAAAATATTAAGACCATAAAACATAGACGAAATACTTACATCACTTGGAAATTTACGTGGACGACCACGTCTGTTTTTTGGTCCATAGAAGACAACTTCTTTGTTCTTGCAACCACTCTTGATTTGTCCAGCTTCCTTGCATCGACTACAATGTGGGAATCTTCCATGTCTTGTTGACTTGCCTGCACTTTGTAGATCCTCAAATGGACGACCTCTCTGTTTCCGCATCTCAGGAATGCCTACTGGAGGCTTATGCGTTCTCTTCCACATCTTCTCACCATTCACAGGTTTGATGTTATAGTCATATGTCTTCTTCATAACAGATGCGTAGTAATAATTCGGGACATATCTCACTGGATCGTCTTGGTTATCATCCAAAACGCAGATCGCATGTTTGCATGGTATACCTGACACAAGAAGACAATGCATCAGCGAAATAATGGGAGAGAAGAGAAAAAAATAAAACATAACAGAGAAAAAAACTACACCTGTGAGATCCCATTTGCGGCAGGCACACTGGTGAGTAGATATATTCACAGCATAGCTGTCGTTATACTCTCGCACCTCATACAAACTTTTGCTGCTTCTTGTTGTCAAGCAGTAAGCAGCAGCAAGCCTTGATTTCTCCAATAATCTCTTTGTGATCGGTATCACAATTGTGTCACATCTTTCTGCTTTAAGAAACCTTCTAGATACTCTTCTCATTGCTTGTCTTCTTACCTCCTCCAGCATACTGATTACAGGCATTGATCTAGCAATCTTAATGGTTCTATTGAAGCTTTCAGACAGATTATTGTGAACATCAGCACAATGAGACTCTTCACTGAAGAATGCACAACACCACCTATGAGGTTCCGTGACTAGCATAGCATCATACGCAGAAGGATCATATGCCTTAACCAACTCCATATTCGCATCATACTCTCCTTCTGTGTAGCTGTAGGCAACTCCCCAAAACAAGTTCTTGTACTCTGATCTCGAAAAACCTTGTTTCTTCCAATTAGCATAGATATGTCTTGCACACATACGATGCTCTGCTTTTGGAAGTTCAGCATCCATGGCAATCAGCAAACCCTATAAAGAATAACTAATGAGTACATGAATACTAAACATAATGAAAATGTAGTAAAGGTTAGATTGTTACCTTCTGCTTATCAGATATTATTGTGAAGTTCTCTCCATTCCCTAAGTCAATGTCGACTTTAAGCTTCTTAATAAACCAGCCCCAAGTGTCTTTAGTCTCACCTCTAACAACTGCCCATGCAATCGGATACATTCTGTTGTCTGCATTTCTTCCAACAGCTGAAAGCAAATCACCATTCAACTCCCATTTGAGAAAGCATCCATCCAAACCAATCACTGGCCTGCAACAATTCTTCCATGTTGTTCGAAACTCATCAAAGCAAATGTAGAAACAATCAAACATGTCCACTCCCACATCGTCTTTACGGATTGTGCAGAGATCAGTTCTGATGTTGGGATGTGTTCGTTTGAGCTCAGCTTCGTAATCCCATAGCTTAGCAAATTGAGTGACTTGAGCTTCCATGATAGTTATTAAAGCAATACGCCTCCCTCTATAACACTTTGATATTGGAACAACAATGTTATACCGCTCCTTGATTGTATCTTTGATCACTGCAGCTTGTAAGTTTACATTCTTCCTCAACTCTTCTCTAAATAAACCCGCAATTACTCCTTGCTTCAACATCGAAACCCTGCTGGATTTCCCATGATTGTGACCCATATTGCAAACTTTGACCATCCACTTATTAATAGGAGGCTCAAACGAACAGTACACTCTGAACTTGCAATTCTCACCACAACAAACAACAGCTATTCAGTTTGCTTTAGACCTTGCAATCTTCACATCATATTGGGTCTTCAATGAGTATCGCAGAAGCTGGTCTTTAAACTCTAAGCCGCTGTTAAATTTCTGAAATAACCAAATGTATGGCTCCTTCTCTAAGTCTCCATGGAACTGCGATCTTCCCCTCCTTTTCCCTTTCGGGTTATCCCACTGATCCCACTCCTCATCTGACTCTAATGGTGTATCTGGATACTCAGCATCCTCCTCTATCACGCATTCTTCCTCACTTTCTTCTGCTTCTCTTTCTGCAGCCTCTTTTTCTTCCAAATTTTCATATGCTTCCTTCACTGGTTTTGCACTTGATCCTTCCTCAAAAAGAGACCTACACCTTGCATCATTACGACCATCACCAACATCTTCAACAACATCTTCAACAACATCTTCTCCATCATCAACATTTGCACCTCCTTCAGCCATTGTCTCATCTTCATTACCAGGCTCTTCCTCATGCATTTCATCTCCATTACCAACATCTTCCTCATGAATTTCATACTCAGACTGTTCTGGTTCTTCATCTTCCTTTGGCCTGTCTATTCCTTCATCACTCTCAGAATTATCATCTTCATCTTCTCTCTCTGATAAATCATTAACGGTCGCATTTTCACCTTCCTGACGATTTTCATGATTGCTGCTTGTGAGATACTGACTCGCAAGAGGCTCACTGTGCTCTGTGCAGTCATACTCTAAGAAGATCTCAATCTCACCAGATTCTTTTGCTAAACAGATAAGCAGGAACATGTCTTCAGAGATTTCGTCATACACATAGTTCACTGTCTTCATCTCCTTATCCCTTTGTTTGTACCAAATGAACCTAATGGGTGCATTGATCAGTTCTTTGATATCACCATATTTTACATGATTTTACTATATAATTACTTATGTTTTCAAACGGTTTTTGCAAGATTCTTTGCCTTTAGAGGTAGTTTTCTTGTATTTGTGGGATTTGAAGTCTTTGTAGGTGAAATAATCAAAAAGGATGCAAAAAGGAGTAAAAGAGCCCTAAATCAAGATCCATGCAAGTTTCCAAGTCAAGAAGATCATTTTATCTCCAAGTGTTAGTTCTCGCTGCGCGCAGAACGAAGCTTCGGAAGTTTGGCCGCGCGCGGAGGAGTTCCCGACGTCCAAAAGTTACGATCTTGATATGGAAAGATAGATACTTGAGTCATGCATCACGTCGAAGTGGAATGAAGCCATTTGGATCAACTATGAGGCCTAGACTTATTTTCTACCGAGACATGTCCGGTAAGCGAGTAAACGAAGCCCATGGAGGATTTGGAGTGTCTAATGGCCCGAGCAGCAGCGCCAAAGGCCTTGATCGAATAGAGAAGAGGCCTGGCTAATGTTTGGAGCTTTCCTTGGTACAATGTCGGCCCATACACGACGTGGAGAAGAAGGCTCGCGCATGGAAACTTTCCTTTTCCGGCATGAAGAAAACCCTACGCGACTTCGCCCATATATACATGTTTTTAGCCGCTGAAGAAGAGAGAGATCGAGTCCAGTCCAAAATTACAAAGAGTTACGTGTGAGAAGAGAGAGAAGAGAAGAGAAGCCCTAGGAGATCGTCCAAGAAGAAGGAGGCGCCGCTCAACTCTTGTTCTTTCTTTTTCATTGTTTCCATTTCTATAAACTTGATCTTAAGAGTTTTCAAGGGAGAATCCGACTTTGTTCATCAATAGAGAAGCTTTCTTCATCCCTTTATCTCTTTTAATACTTGCATAATGTTTACAATCATGCTTTGCTTGCTTGTTTGCATCATGGCCGAGTAGATCTCTTAGTTAGGCCGAGGAGATCTATGGTGGCCGTGATGATTTGATTGTGTTGCAACTTATTGGGATTTATCTTATGGATCTTCACCTTTACTTGAGCTTAATGCATGATTACTCTACCGTACATCTAGTAATCTGATCTTAGAGAAATAGAACCACGACAGTGCTGAATCTAGATCTCAAAACTAGTATTTGGTGAGCAATAGATCATAGCCAACGAAAGCTGAGTTATGGTTTATTGTGAACAATTGAATCTTGAACCTTGTAATGCATGTTTGCAATTCTAATAGCCAACGAAAGCTGAGTATATTAGGTTGTTTTAAACATAGTGGTTGGAGCCACGACAGTGGAAAGACCATACACTAGTGATTCATGTTCAAGACGGCTCTACACACATCCCATGCAACTATCTTTTCATCATTGCTCCATATGATTGTCCTTTGCCTAACTCTTGTTTTAAATTGTTTACAACTCACTCACATTTCTTTTGTTTTGTTTTCTCATTCTAGGTCCAAAACCACCTCATATTGCGAGCTAGCTACAAACCAATCTCACAAGGTGTTAAGCGAGAACACTTCCTCCTCGTGTTCGACCCCGACTACAACACGGCTGTGCACTTGCAGCTCATTAGTTGGGTTTATAAATTGTGAAAATTTGAGGCAATCTAAACCCGCCATCAAGCTTTCTGGCGCCGTTGCCGGGGAGGAGTTGCTTTTCCTTCACACCTCTTGATTGATTTCAAGACTAGCTCATCTCATCTTTCACTTTTCTTTGTTTTTGTTTTTCATAAAATCTTAAAAACTCATAAAAATTTTACTTAACTCTCTCTTTGTGTGTTTCTAAGGTGCATGACAAGAAGGTCCAATCCAAATACAACCATTGAAGAAGATCTTGACATTGACCAACTTGAGCGCACACTTAGGCGACTAAGGAGAGAAAGAATGAATCCAGGCGGAGAAGGCGCGCCAAATAGGCCACACAACCCGCCCGACCAAGAGAGGAGAGCCAATGATCCTCCTAATCCAGCAGAAGCTAGAGCTGACCAGCCAGCACCGGCCAGAGACGTTCCTCCACCCAATCCGAACGCGCCCGATGCAGCTGAGCCGCTACAGCCACCTCTTAACCCGCCGCGACCACCACCGGCGTTTGCAAATGGACATCATCGTCACGGTGACAACCAAGGGATGCCTCAAGACCAACCTCACGCACCTCCAAGGAGAGTGCCAAACGCGCAGCATCCAAGGCACCAAACTATGGGAGACTTTGATTCGTCCGATGCCTTTCTTTATGGATCGGAATCCAATCCGACCGCCTCTACCTCCAAGGAACGATTTTGAGATCAAACCGCAGATCATTGCCTTGGTGAAGCAAAACCAATTCCATGGTTTGCCCACTGAGCATCCTCTTGATCACGTCGACACCTTTGAGGAGATATGTAGCACAACTCGTGTTAATGGAGTATCGCCGGATTACTTCAAGTGCAAGCTATTCACTTTTTCTCTAAGTGACAAGGCGCTAAGATGGGTAAAATCTTTACCACCTCAGTCCATTACAACATGGAATGAATACAAGGGAGCTTTCTTGAACCAATTCTACACTAAGCAAAGATCCAACTCTATAAGGAGCAAGATTTCTGGTTTCAAGCAAGATTCAATGGAGTCATTCTATGAAGCTTTGGAGAGATTCAAGGAGTACACAAGAAGCTGCCCTAACCATGGCTTTTCAGAAGGTAACCTTTGGAACATCTTTTACAATGGGATTGATCATAAATACAAGCTTTCTCTCGATACCGCGAGCAATGGTAATTTCATGACCAAGTCGGTGCCGGAGGCAAAGCTTTTGATTGAGAATCTCGCTGCTAGTGATGCCAATGCATGCCCTGACTACAATAGAAGCGTGAAGACCACGAGCTCATCAGAATCAGCTCAAATCTCGGAGCTAAGGAACATGGTTTCACAACTACTTAAAAGCCGACAAGGAGTTCACGCCATTGAAGATGCCCTAGCCACAAATGAAGACACTCTTATGGATTTCATGAGAGATGGCGCTGAAGAGAATCTAGAGGAAGTCAACTACATTGGAGGAAACTATGGGAATAGAGGATTCAATCCACCATTTCGCGCGCATCCAAACCTATCATACCGGAGCAACAATGTGGAGAATCCAAATGACCAAGTCTACCCCAATCAAGGAGCGTATCAAGGAGGCCAATACCAATCCAAGCCACAACAAGTCTATCCAAGAGGGATGTACCAAGTGAAGCAACCATTCACTTTTTCTCAAGAAACAAATCCAACCCAAACCGGAGAGAAGGTTGACGTGGCGTTGAAGAAATACATGGAGGAGCAGAGATTGATCACCAAGAACCTATATGAGAAGCTTGATCACATGTTTGGTGATCTAAGCAGCAAGTTTGGGTCTCTCTCTACTCACGTTCAAAAGCTTGAGGTGCAAATCGCTCAAACAGCCGAGGCGGCCAAGAAACAAAATGAGGTAAACACTCAAAAATTTTGTAGTGTTGTCTCATCTATAGATGGCACAATTGTTCCTACACTATCTCAAGGGGAAGAAGAAGAAAATGAGCCTAAGGAGAGGCACAAACCGGAGAGATACAGTTGGGAATCAAGAAGAGCTTACAAGAGAAGACTTGAAGGCAAGCCACTACAAAAACAAGAAGATCCGGGGAAGTTTGTGATAACTTCAAGTATCAATGGCATTCAACTCCACGATTGCCTATGTGATACTGGTGCTAATGTTAATCTAATGTCTCTTGCACTTGCAAAAGATTTGGGATTCAAGGAATTCAAGAGCCCCAAGATAAGAGTCGAGTTCGCGGATCTATCGTGCATGGAACCTTATGGAATGCTTGAAGATGTCATGATGGAAATAGGGGGTCGATCGGTCCCAACTGACTTTCAAGTCATGATTTGGGAAGGCTCAAAGAGGAATCAACTGATTCTTGGAACCCCATTCCTTGCTACAGCTGGAGCGGTCCTAAACTACTTTGGGAATCATCTATCTTTTGGCCACATCCGGCAAGATATCTTTTTCCCAAGTGTAAATTTCAGGTCAGTGCCAAGTGCGACCAAGCTACCACCAGAAGAAGCCACTCTCAAGCCTAAGAAAGAAGCCGTATGCTGCATGGAGAAAGAAGAGAGAGTGAGCGCTACCCAAAACCAAAGGAGAAGAAGAAAACATTGGAGCCGAGGCATGAAAATGTCTTTAAGGATATCAACTCCATCTTACTTCCAACCTTTGATGAATATGGAGCTGAAGAGGAGACTAATGGTGCACCTAATCTCTTTCACAAGATAAGAATCTTTACACCAAAAGATTCGGAGCTTAAAGGTGACCAATCCATTGAAGAGAAGCTTGAGAGAACTATGAAGCTTTTCCCCAAGGCATTGGTTTTCAAAGATGATGTGAGAGATGACTATGGCGCGACAACACCACCACAAGAATCCACTGAACCGGAGAATGGAGAAGCTAAAGGGATCCTTTGCCCTTCAGCCACTCTTCACCACGATTGAAAGAAAGAAAAGGAGTCAAGCTAAATGACTTAAAACAAAAGCGCTTTATGGGAGGCAACCCATATGGTTTTTAACTATTATTTCTATTTTGCAGGAGTTTTTCAAAAATCAAACAAAAATACAAAAATATTTTCTTAGGATGAAGACCCAAAGGAGACCAAACAATGGAAGTGTCCCACCCAATGAGCCCACCCTTGTACAAGGCGTTTCTCTTCCAAAAGGTAAGTAAATCTCACCTAGTATTCATTTCTAATCACTCTTGATCTTCACTTGAAAAATCGTTTAAACCATTGCACTTTATCAAATATATTCATGGTTTAACTTGATTTACTTTTGATGATTGGAAAGAATACATAATCACTTGTCAAAACTCATTTTGCTCACTGAAATTACAAGAGATTGAACTATAGTTTGAAATTTGGATCATTAACCAAGACCAAATAAGAATTTATAGTTTGTGCTTTAATCTCTTGGATTGTGAACTTCAAGTTGGTCACTTGAGGATCACAATCTGAGAAACCATCTAATCATGATTTCAAGTGTTTTGCAAGGAGTTAACCATTTGACAGGAAGGAGAAATAGAGCAAACCTATAACCAACCTCAAAACCAACATGCATATGGCGGCCAAAGGGAGGTTAAAAGGAGATACATAGGCCATCACACGAAACAAGGCGGCCACCACTTGGGAATGACACAGGAGGGTTATTAAAACAATTCGATCGAAGAAAATCTCAATTGGCCCGAGTGGATTCGAAGAAATTCAATCCAGACATTTCTCTCGGCCATACCGCGCACAAGGAAGCCAACTACGGCCAACTCCTAAACGGCGTGACCAAAGTCCACCAAACTTCACAGGCGACCATAAAATCACATTTGGTCGGCAAATCAAAAGATAGGACGGAGAAATCATCACGGATCATGAGATAGACGACGGAGCCCATTCTGGCCGATGGCGCGCAAGCAATATGGCCGACAAAACCAAATCACGGCATAGGCGCGCCAACCGGTTGGAAAACTCTTCTTTGAGCTTAACTAACACTTTTATGCAGGAAGAAACGAAAAGGAACGAGCCAAACTCACATGGCCAAGGAAACTCCTTCCCGGAGCCGACTTGACCGTTTTGTGAAGGAAGTCTCAATCCGCTCGTACGAATGCTCCCAAACTTCACCAGAGGCTATAAAATACCAGGTTGGTCGATGAAATTTCAATATAGGTCATGAAATTTTGACGGTTTGTTCTGTAGTTCACAGCACCACATTTTGGCCGACCGAATATACCAATCTCGGCCAAAACACAAACCGGCGGAAACCAAGGCCTGAATTGGGGGTATCGCGGGGATCTCGTCGTTGGAATTGCCTTAGGCATTAAATTTTTTCTTTTCTTCGAGGTGAAGATAAGATCTGGCCGTTGAATCGAGATGAACGGCTGAGATCGCGGCAAATCTTGTCAACTCACCACAATCTCGCAAACCGAGCTCCTCGATAACGTATATCGCATATTTTCAAGATTCGAAATGATTATGTTTTCGAATCGGACGGTTGAGATCGAGGAGAGCGAAGAGTCCGTGCGGCCTGAGATCCGTTTGGGACCCACAGCGCGTCACATCATCAGCTCGTCGCATGCAAGCGGTTAAGATCTGTGAGTTGTACGGTCGAGATTCACGCAGAAAAATCGGATTCTTTGCGATCTCTTCAGCAGTTAATGCTGAATATAAACTCGACCCACTACTCTTCTCTTTAACCGTGCCCACGTTTTTGAAAAGGTAACTTCTCCTCTCTCTTTTACTTATTTATTTGCTTTCAGTTTTAGATTAGATAACTCCAAGTTCTTGAAAATTATCGAACCTTTGCAAACTTTCGAGCATTTAGGTTGTTTCGATTTCGGATTTCTCCAAAAACTCTTTCAACCTCTTTTTCCTCCGTCTCTTCCTCCGACTATCATGCCTCCGAAGAATCGTCAAGCAAGAGAAGGGAAAGGCCGTCGACCTCGGCGGTGACGGGAATTCACGCCGCACGCCGAGACGACGCTCGACGCCGAAAGCCTCGACACTTCCGGCAGGATTTCGGGATCCCGGATGAGATCGAACTCGTTCTCCGGCTGAGGGAGAGGACCCGGAGCATGTTCCGTCCGGGGTTTTGCTGCGCCTATACGTCGTATTGGCGGAGCGCCGGGATGATTTTCCCGGTCCCTCGTTTTCTGATGGAAGCGCTCGCTCATTATAAGATGGCGTTTCCACAGATGCACCCGAGCTTCGTCCGCCACGTGATAGGATGTGCGGTTCGAGCTCGGGAAGAGGGCGTCTCGTTCGGTGTTCGAGATCTGAGAAAGCTTTTCTCGGTGAAGAACAACACCAGGCTTCCGGGTCGTTTTACTCCTCGCCGAGGCCGAATCGGCGAATATTCACGAACACCCCGCAGAGGGATAGCGACGAGATGTTCTTCTTCCGGGTCAGCGAGGCCACGATGGGCGACTTCGACTTTGGTCGAATCCGAACGGAGTGGGCGACTAGCGTTGGTTAGCTTAGGCCGATTTCCGTTTAGGATAGCCGATACCTCGCTTGACTTACGGAATACCTCGTTTATTGATGATTTTTTTTTTTTTGCAGTTGTAGATCCAGTACCGAACAACCCGGGGATTGATTACCTCGTCGAGCGACTCGGAAGGGAAAAGGTGAACTGGAGTACTTTTACTCCGGAACGGATCCGTCGAGTTCTCAGCTCTCCTCCTGCTCCTCCTCCAGGTAATAATCTCCCTTGGACCAACTAGAAATTCATTTTACGAACTCTTTGTAACGAGCTGTTTATATAAATTTTCCAGCTGATCTTCCGGTTAGATCGGCGCAAGATTCTAGCTCTGCTTCTTCTGTTCCTCCTCTCTCACGCAGATCGAAAATGACCTCGTCGTCAGCCTCTCAGATCCCGGACCGCAAAGGTGCCAAAGGCGCCTTCCTCGGGTGGAAGTCGAGTTCGTGCCGGCGAGTTCGTAACGGCGGTGGAGGAGGCTATGGCTTCGAAGCCCACGGTGGGGTCTTCTGCCCTTGCCGACCAGGTGGTTGACCAGGTCGACGCGACCGCGAAGGAGAGGTCGTTCCTCTCCCGAGTACGGTTCATGTGAGCTCCGATCGGACTCGGAGTTCGGATCAAGGTCACTCGAGGCAGGCGCCGAAGCGAGCTCGGAGTGACGATGGAGAGACTCGTTCTCGCGAGGGCGGCCCGACTGCCTCGAACGGGAGCGGGGGAAAGCCGCCGTTTTACTGGCAGTACGAGAACTCCAGAGGCTTCCCCGTTCAGGACGACGAGGAGGGAACAGCTCGCATTCAGCTCCACTTCAAGCCCGTCGGATGCCGGCTCCCGTCCCTGAACCAGATGTCTGAGAAGGAGCTCTACATCGCGACGTGCGCTGCGAGCGGGAGGGTAAGAACTGTTTCCCTAGTCAAAACTTTAGACGAGAGTCTTTGTTGGTTTTGGCCTTGGTTGAATTTTTTGTTTTTGTTAGGCTGTGGCAGCTCGTAACATGTTGGTGTCCCGCCTGGAGTCGAGGATCAGAGACGCGCCTCAGCAGAAAGAGCTCGATCAGGTGAAGGAGCTCGTTGCCAAGTTGACCTCCGATCTCTCTGCGGCGAACGAGCGGGTAGCTCGTCAGGGTGAGCTCTTGAAGAAACACACCTCGCAGGAGGGTCGTGTGAAAGAGCTCGAGACCAGGGAGGCCGATCTCTTGCGCCAGCTGTCCCAGAATCAGGAGCAGATGGCGGCTTTGCAGAAGGAGAGCTCGAGTGCGCTGACGCAGTCGCTTCGCCTTAGCCGGGAGAACCAGGTACTCGTCGCCGAGAAGGACAACATAGCTCGCCGTGCCAACCGCGCAGGTCGGAGGGAGATGGTCGCGAAGCATCGGGAAGTGCTTGAATCGGCTAAGGCAAAGTTCGAGGAGAAGAGGGTGGAAGGTGAGAAGGAGGGCGATCAGATCGAACTCCAGTCCAACATCGATCTCCTTACGTCGCTGATCTCCGGTGCGATCAACCAGGAGGAAGAGCTCGCCAGGTTGAAGGGGCTCGAGGATGAGGTGGCCGAAGCAGCCAAGGCGGCCCAAGTCTCCGATTTCTCGATCGGGAAGTTTAACCTTCCCGTGGTTTCGGAGGACTCGGTCGCGCGCATGGAGATCGACCCATCGACGAGCATCCCGGTTGGCTTGAACCCGTTCGGGACGAATGCCGAAGAGAAGGGAAGCAACGAGGAGGAAGAGAAGGAAGATGAAGAGATGACCGTCGAGGACTGAGCTCTTGGTCGACCTCTTTCTATCTCTACTCCTTTTTCAATTTATTTTAAGACTTGGTTGCCCGGCGGGGTTTTTACGCTTTATGTTTCGGATTTGGTGCCTGGGAAGGCTTTTATCCACAAACTCGTTTGCCCGCGGGGGCTTTTAATGTTTTGGCCTTAGGCGTTTTGCCTTAGGCGTGTTTTGCTCAAATTGTTTTGCAACTTTCATTTTAGCTCGCTTTTACTTGCCAAAATGTTTTGAGGCTTTTTGACTAAGTGTTTTGGCCGGTCGAGAGACCAGGGCCAAGATGTACTTTAGTCGGGGTCGAATCGATCCGTTTAGGTCGATTCAACACTTAGAATATTTTTACTAGTTTTGGCCGATCGTGTGTCGAGCTAAACGTAGTTTTAGGTCGAATCGAGTCCGATCGGGACGATTAGATCGATTCAACACTTAGGCAAATTTTACTAGTTTTGGCTGATCGCGTGGAACGAGCTAAACATAGTTTTAGGTCGAATCAAGTCCAATTCGGGACGATTAGATCGATTCAACACTTAGGCGAATTTTACCGATTTTCGTCGATCGCACGGATCGAGCTAAACGTGGTGTTTATTCTTTTTCGAGCTCTTTGGCGAACTGATGTAGCTCGCGCTTTGCGGAGTTGTTTTCCCGTCTTTCGATCGAGGTGTTTCTTATTCGGCTTTTGGAGATGGAATTTATTACCTTTCGAAGTTCGTCTTGGTTTTGTCGCTTCGCCGATAGTGTTCCGAGCTAATCGTGAACTTCAGGTCCGTCTGGATGGCTCGGCTTCGTGTTAGATTTCGGGCTGTCTCTGGGTCTTCGGTTCTACGATTGCTAGAACACTACGCTGGATGCTTGGACGCTGCGGACTTCGATTGGTTTTTGCGAAGTAAGAAATTGAAGGTAAAGAGGTGGACTCTGAACCTCACTTCGTTCGAAAGGGGAATATCGAGGTGATCTCGATCTTCCGATCTGTTTTGAGACGAGAGAAAGAGCTCGATTTCTTTTCAGGTCACGCAAGATCAGGCGTTTTCGACGTAAATTGATACGCTTAAGTAATTCGGAATTTCTTAAGGACTTGCTGAGTCGATTCGAGCAATTCGTAGTGATAAACATAGAAAACTTTTTATTTAAGTATAATATTCGAGATGATACAAATCGAGCCCGTTTTAGGGCCGGCCAATGAGGTCGTCTCAAATAAAATGAAATAAATTGGATTGGGGCTGGACTCGTGGTTGAGCTGCCTACGTACCCCCAGGGAAGGAGGATCAAGCCTAAACGTAGTTCGAGGGGTGGAGATACTCTGATTAGATCCTTTTCAGTGATAGTACCTTTTCAGGTTCATCGCATTCCAAGGTCTTAGTTCAGGTATTCCGTTTCTGACTTTTGTGAGCTTGTAGACGCCATCGCGAACTACTTCGGTAATGAGGTAGGGACCTTCCCAGTTGGTCCCAAGTTTCCCTGCATTGCGCTCTTTGGTATAGTCTTGTACTTTTCTCAGAACCATGTCGCCTATACGAAAGCTCCGGTGTTTAACCTTGGAGTTGTAATAGCGAGCTGCGGCCTGTTGATAGTTTTGTATCCGGATCAGAGCTTGATCTCGACGTTCGTCGATAAGGTCAAGGTGATCTCTCAACATTTCTCGTTCAGCTCGACGTTCGCTGGACATTGCATCCTGCGAAGACTTGGAACGGAAGTTTCAGTTGGGATGACGGCCTCTAGCCCGTAAGCTAATGAGAACGGGGTCTCATGGGTAGCTTTGTGAGGTGTAGTTCGGCAAGCCCAAAGAACTGCTGCGAGCTCTTCGGACCACCTATGTTTACGGGCGTCGAGTCGTTTCTTGAGGTTACTCAAGAGGGTTTTGTTTGTTGCTTCAGCTTGCCCGTTCCCTTGAGGGTAACGAGGTGTGGAATACGTTATGCGTATGTTCCACTTCTTGCAGAAGTCTTTGAATGTTCGAGCTATGAACTGAGATCCGTTATCTGTCACGATCTCGAAAGGGAGCCCGTGTCGACAAATGATGTCTTTCCAGATAAATTTCCGGACCTCGAGTTCGGTCGTTTGTTGGTATGGTTTGGCCTCGATCCATTTAGTGAAGTAGTCAGTAAGGACTAATAGGTATTGGAATTGCTTCGGTCCCGAAGAGACCATAGGTCCTATTATGTCCATAGACCACCTCATAAAAGGATAAGGTGAAGAGATCGATGAGAGTGTTTCAGCTGGGACGTGAATGCTTGGGGCGTGCCTTTGGCATTTGTCACATCGCCTGGAGTACTGTTCGCAGTCTCTGATCATCGTCGGCCAGAAGTAGCCTAGCTTTTTAATCCGTATGACGAGAGCTCGGCCTGCGGAATGACTTCCGCAAGGTCCTTGATGAGTCTCGTGCATTACGGTGTAAGCTTCTTCGCCATGGATGCATGTTAGATATGGTTCGATAAGGCTTCGCTTGTAGAGCTTATCTTCCATCATGCAATAATGTGCGCTTTGGGCTTTTAGCTTGCGAGATGCCCATTTTTCGTTAGGGACGGCTCCGAGCTGGATATACTCGATTATAGGAGTTCTCCAGTCGGGTCTCGCAGCGAACTCTTCCTTTAAGGTGAGTTCGTTCGCCATAGCAGATGGGACGGTATGGATCGTGGACTCTTGCGTATTTTGCGAAGAGTCCGAATCGATATACCTTGTTTTTTGCCTATCTTGGTCAGGTTCTTCCTCCTCGGAATCAGGTTCCGGGTTAGATGGTCCCGGATCTTGGGACTGTCTAGTTTGAGAACGAGTAGACGGGCGCGAGGTAATTGCGTTTATACTGTCAGACTTGAGTGCGATGTCGATGCTAGGTTTATCTATGCCTTCGACTGGGATCACACGTCTTACAGTTGGGTCCGAAGTGGAGGCGAGAGCAGCTAAGGCGTCAGCCGAAGTGTTCTCTCCCCTAGGCACCCTAGTTAGTTCGAATTTACTGAATTGTCCAGCTAAATCTCGAACTACTTTGAGATAAGCTTCCATGCGCTCCTCTTTTGCTTCGTACTCGCCGCTGTATTGGCTAGTAACGAGCTGGGAGTCGCTGAATGCGTTGATCTCATTCACGCCGATCCCGATTGCGAGTCGGAGTCCGGCTATGAGTGCCTCGTATTCGGCCTCATTGTTAGAGGCGACGAATCCGAGTCTGAACGATTGTTCGATCACTTCTCCGGTTGGAGATGTGAGTTTGATTCCGACGCCAGCTCCTTGTTTGGACGAGGCTCCATCTACGAAGAGTGTCCAAACTTTAGAGAGGGTGGTATCGTTATTGGCTTCCGGTGCCAGCTCGATCATGAAATCAGCTAGTACCTGGGCTTTAGCACAGGTTCTAGTTCGATATTCGATGTCGTATTCGCTGAGCTCGATAGCCCATTTAGCTAGTCGTCCAGATTGACTTGGACTATGTAGCATAGTTCGCAATGGTTGCGAGGTCATCACCACGATTGTGTGTGATTGAAAGTAAGGTCGCAGCTTGCGAGCGGACATTACTATTGCTAAGGCAAGTTTTTCCATAGCTGGGTATCTAGTCTCGGCATCAATCAGGGATTTACTTACGTAAAAGATTGGTCTTTGTTCGTTTAGCTCTTCACGAACTAAGACCCCGCTGACCGCTGCAGGCGAGACCGCGATGTAAAGGTATAGCGGTTCTCCTTCTACTGGTTTTGCCAGTATAGGAGGTTCGCTGAGGTAAGTTTTGAGCTGTTTGAAAGCTTCTTCGCATTTTTCGTCCCAGAGGAATTTTTTATTTCCTCGGAGGAGCTGGTAAAATGGAAGACACTTGTCGGTTGACCGGGAAATGAACCTATTAAGGGCTGCTATTCGACCGGTTAACCGTTGTACTTCTCTAGTATTTTCTGGAGAAGGCATATCTAAGAGGGCAGAGATTTGCTTCGGGTTCGCCTCGATTCCGCGTTCAGTTACTAGGTAACCGAGGAACTCGCCAGACGGAACTCCGAATGTACACTTAGTCGGGTTCAGCTTCATGCCGTACTTGTTAAGTATGGAGAAGCATACCCGGAGCTGTGCGACGTGGTCTGTTTCCCTAGAGGATTTGACCAGCATATCGTCTATGTACACCTCCATTGTTTTACCGAGCTGATCGGCAAACATTTTGTTTACGAGGCGCTGATATGTAGCTCCCGCGTTTTTTAGCCCGAATGGCATTACTTTGTAGCAGTAAGTACCTCGGTCTGTTATGAAAGCTGTTTTCTCCTGATCTTCTGGGTTCATCTTGATTTGATTATACCCAGAAAACGCATCCATGAAGGATAGGAGCTGGTGACCAGCCGTAGCTTCGACCAAGCGATCTATATGAGGAAGTGGATAGCTGTCTTTTGGACAAGCTTTATTAAGGTCTGTGAAATCGATACAGACTCTCCACTTTCCGTTTTTCTTTTTGACAACTACAGGATTAGCTAACCAGTCGGGGTATTTCACCTCTCTGATCGAGCCTACCTTGAGTAGTCGGTCTACTTCGTCGTTTACTGCTTTAGCCCGATCTGGGCCGAGTTTTCGACGTTTTTGTTTCATGGGTTTGAACGTGGGATCTACGTTCAGCTCGTGAGACGTGATCCTAGTGTCAATCCCGGGCATGTCCGCGGTGGACCATGCGAATGTGCTGATGTTTTCCTTTAGGAAGGCGATCAGCTCGTCACGGATAGGTTTTGCGAGATCGATTCCGATACCAACGCGCCTTTCGGGGTCGGTTTCGTCGATGCAAACCTGAGTGACCAAGTCTTTTCGAGGTTCGCGGACGGTCGGATCTTTGCCATGTTTGATCTGCCGAATCGCGAGCTCCTCTTCTTTCTGTAATTGCTATACTGGCGATTTTTCAGCTCGCAAGTAGCTGCCCATATAGCAATCTCGGGAAGCTCGTTGGCAACCGCGAATTGTTTTTGTCCCCCAAGGTGTAGGGAACTTGACGCATTGGTGGTAAGTGGATGCAACTGCTTTCATGGTGTAGAGCCACGGCCTGCCGAGAATGGCATTGAATGGCGCGGGGCGATCTACGACCACAAAGTCAACTGTTTTCGTTATACCACCTGCTTTGATTGGGAGCTGGATAGTTCCCATGGAATAGGTCGTTTCTCCTGCGAACCCAGTTAGGGGCGTACGGCCTCCTATGAGTGCGGAGTTTTCGAATCCCATTCGCTTGAAAGCATCGTAGAACAGCACGTCTACAGAGCTTCCTGTGTCTATCATGACTCTGGTCAGCTCGAATCCGGCTACGGCGAGCTCGATTACGAGTGCATCGTCATGAGGTTTATCGAGTGCGAGTGTTTCGCTTTCTCGAAATTTGATTTCGTGATCAGGTCCGTCTAGAGGACGTGGTTGTCCAGATGACTCGACCCGTCGCTGATGTGCTTTGATCGAGTTAATCGAGTCTTTGCACATCTTCGAGCCACCGCAAATGAAGTCAATTCGTTTAGGGGTAGGTGGCTCTACTCCCCCCGAGAGCTTGTGAAGTCTGCGTAAGCAAGAGATCGCAATGCTCTTAGTATCGGGTCTGGAGGTAGGTGATGTAACAGGCGAGCTTCTGTAAGAATGCTCTATCCCCCCGACAAGTCTAGGAGGTCTGTGTGAGCTAGAGCTCGTAGCCTTTCTAGGAGCGGGTGGGGGGGTGACCACGGATCTCGTTGAGCCGCCGCAAAGGCTGAGCTCTCCGAAGATTAGGTCGATTCTTTTCCTGTTAGAAGGAGGGGAATCGGGGGCTTCGACCTCGACTTCGCGTTCTCTTTTCTGAGGTGCGTTGTCGGAGTCTTTAGCTGGTTTGGGTTTTGGCTTTTCGGCCTTAACCGCGGTTTCAGCTGTTTTGCTTTTTCCCTTCTTTTTGCTAGACTTTTTGCCTTTAGCACGGCATTCCTCTGTGGAATGGCCGTTTGTATTATGGAATATCGCAGTGTTTCTCTTCTTCCTCCGAGCTCTTTATGGGAGCTGAAGTTTCGATAGAGTAGGAATGTTGTCCTTTACTCTGCGAAGGTGGTTTAGCTGGTGCAGTTTTCTTAGCACCTGGTGGAGCATATGCGAGCTCCCCTTTGAGGTATTTTTCTCTGAGGAGAGCTGTGTCTTCCTCGAGAGTTGCGAATGCTGATGCGCGATGTAATGCGTCATCGAGTGAAATTGTAGGTCGAACAGTTAGTTCTTCTCTAAATTTCGATTCATACCACAAGTTGTTTTGAGGGCAAGTAGAGCTACTGCCTCATTAGGGTTTGTGATCTTAGCTTTGACTGATTTGAATCTGTCAATGTAAGATCGAAGTGATTCCTTTGGTCCTTGAGAAAGTCTCCAAAGGTCTGCTTCCGTAATTTTAGATTCGATGAAGATCGAATACTGTTTTAGGAAGGCTGATTGGAGCTGGTCGAAATTATCGATTGAGTTTTCGTCCAGCGTTGAGAACCATTCTTGAGCTGGTCCGATCAGGTTCTCAGCGAAGAGCCTGCAGTAGGCTGCTTCTATCTCTTCTGGAGAGAAAGGAACTCGAGATACGACGAGGTTAAAAGCTCGCATGTAAGCTCTCGGATCGCTGTTACCAGAGTATTCTGGGATACGCAGCTTGCTGGTATCTCGAATATAGGTACTTTTGATCCTGAGTGAAAAAGGAGTTCGTCTAGACTCTTTTATCACTCTGTCGATATCAGGAGCTGAGCTCGTTGCCTGATGAAACATTGAGCTCATATGCTGAAATGCGAGGTCTGTGCGATCTTGGAATCTTTCGAAAGATTCGCTGTCGACGAGATTACGCAGATCAGCTGGATTCCGATTAGCTGGAATCGGATA